ATATAAAAAAAAAATAATTTAAATTTTGCATTAAAAATAATAATAAAATCAAGAATATTCAAACACTTACAATTTCAAGTGCCCTCCCAGCATGTTGGGTCTGCCCGGAAGTATGAGGAACTGGCGGGTTACCTTGAACATCCTTGGTCAACCGGACCGCAGAGTACTTCATAGACTTCGCCCTTGACTCAGGCTTCATCCAAAAAGCCACCAAACCAACCCAAACATCATTTCTGAGGTAGGTTGGTTTTGCATCATCCTGTCTTAGCCTCCAATCGTCCTTCCAATCTCCAACAATGTTCTTGAGGCACTGCATCGCCTTTTTGTAGAACCCAGATTTGACTTCCTCGTTGACACCAATGGACCAATTCCATTTTTGCTACAAAAAAATTATGAAAAATTAAAAAACATTAGTACTTTATATATACTATCAATGCATGAATTAATTTTTTTTTTAAAAATGGAGAAACTAACCGAAAAACACTTGAACCACGTAATGCGAACGTGGTCCGGTGTAAGAGTCCAGTTGGGGTGGGCATGCGGAAAATTTGCCCAAATGATATCCCCAACGCTCTGTCTTAAAACATTGTCCGTCAAAAACCTACAAAATTTGAAAGAATTTATATATTTATATTAATATATATTAATATTAAATAAATTTTTAAAATTTAAACTTTAATTAAATAATTTGGAATAATTATCAAAACGTGCCGGGGCGTCGATCCGGATCGACGATTCTTAAACCTTCTCATCCCGGCATCCCGAGAATATCTTCCACCGATTGGTCGTTATGATACGACTAATGTACGTCTAGTGGAATTGGTAGCAAGTTAACCTCTGTTTTACGACTAATGCCTTTTAGGCGTAAAGTAGTCGTAAATGAGATGGTTAATTAAGACTACATATATGTAGTCATAATATCTAGTCCTATAACAGTGTTTTCTTGTAGTGTAGTCAGTCAAAGTTCTAGCTCTGTTCGCCTCTTCTACAGGTTGAATGTGGTCTATAGGTGCAGTTTCTTGCTCAGGAATGATCTCTTTCTGAGCATTCAGCTTCTCACCTGCTGCATTATGCAGGTGACCATCTTGATCACGCAGGTCTCCATTCTCATCAGTAGTGAGAATAATAGTTGCTACAATGTCTCGCCGGTAAGTATCAATCGATTTAAAATGAGTTATATCGATCGATGTCGGATGAAAGATTTCGGTCGACGAACGGTTGTTGATGTCGATCGATGGAAAGGTGCGAGTATCGGTCGACGAAGAAGGTGTCTCGGTCGACTGTGGTAAGCGAGTGTCGGTCGACGAACGGTTATTGATGTCGATCGATGCGGAACGTAAGTCTCTGCGGATGCTACGTTCCAAACTGTGAGGGTCTTCTGAGTACACAAGTTGGTTGTTCTTGTTGCTTCTAGTACTGCTGGGCATGTACCTGAAAAAGACAATAATTTTTTTTTTGTATCGGAAGGTGATTAAGCAGTAACAAGTAACCTAGACCTAATCCGATTAAATCTAATGGCGATCTTAGTTCCCCGGAAACGGCGCCAAATTTGATATCACTCAAATTACCCTAAGGAGTGAATAACTCTCTCAAATAAGAGGTTCAGTTGTAGTACTTGGGGATCGAATCCACAAGGAACTAAGGAACACAAAAGATATAATCCTTAGTGATTATGCTAGGTTGATTAAGTTTAAAAGTAAATTGCAGTTGTGAGCAATGGTGAGTTGCTCAAGAGAATTGGTTTAGGTTTTAAACAATAAAAGAAAGTAGTTAGATTCAAGGTTGTTATTCAGACAATCAGAATTATAATGCTACAGATGTCTTTATAAGTTGCTTGCAAGATATTAAAGAACTTCAACTCTTAGATAAATCTATTAGCAATCGCTATCTAGACTCGTCCATTGATCTGACTGCCGACAATATCGAACGATGTTTTGATAGCGATATCGGACGATATAGGTTGCCGTCGATCGATTACTCTATAGGAGTATCGATCGATATAGCTTCAGATCGAATTGAATATGTGTTCACCAAGATCATAGACCGGCTCTCGTTCGTCCCTAGAGGATCTCAGCTTATGCTAGATGATTTCAGGATGATGATTAACAAGTTAAATCATTCCATGATCATACTCTAGTTAGCTACTCTAGAGTAAGCATTAGGGTTCATCAGGATAATGAATATCACAACTCAACAATCCATAGTTGGGGCTAATCCCTCATAACTATTTGAACCCCAAATCTAACAAGTGAATCTACTCAGACATGGCTAAGTGATTCATAGCATCAAGGTAATAATAGAAATTCATAAGATTAGAAGATTGNCATACTCTAGTTAGCTACTCTAGAGTAAGCATTAGGGTTCATCAGGATAATGAATATCACAACTCAACAATCCATAGTTGGGGCTAATCCCTCATAACTATTTGAACCCCAAATCTAACAAGTGAATCTACTCAGACATGGCTAAGTGATTCATAGCATCAAGGTAATAATAGAAATTCATAAGATTAGAAGATTGAACCCTTGGTTCTTTTGAACAAAAAATCTCTTTGTTTATTCTTCTAAATCTATATCTCTATAACCTTATGATGAAAATGAGAATAAGATGAAAATAATACTTTTATAAATTAAAGAACTAAGAGTATTAAGAATTGAAGCAATCAAATGTACTAAAAGTACACCAAAGCACACAAAAGCATTCAAAGCATGTCTAACCAAAACACATAGGCATAACTATAAATATGAGTTCCATTAGGTTAAAAACTCGCCAGGGGCAATCTTGTAATATTGAGAGAACTTGGGCTTCAAGTCGGCTGAGTCAAACTTGTTCTTCACGCTCGATGTCGATCGATGGAGTATCTCGATTCGTCATCTTCTACGGAAGCGTCGTCGATCGATTACACTGGATGTGTATCGATCGATATGTATCTCTGGATATCGACCTTGTTGTCTGATCGTCATAGTCATCTCGGAAAAACTCTCTTTTAAGCTCCATAAAGGCACCTAAATCATCACTTTACTCCAAAATGCTACTGAAACTGAAAACATACCAAATATACTGCAAAACATATATATATATATATATATATATATATATAATATAAAATCATCTAAATACTATGGTCAAAAGTGGGTCAAAACCATGGTAGATCAATGCACAGTGCCATCATCACCTATAAACAAATATATGCATTTCTATCACTCAACGAACAAATGAAAACAACAGTAAGATTAATATATAGTAGTATAAAGAAAACAATTGAAACGAAAAGGGAAAGGAATATAGCTCGTGCCAGATTGCTTACTTGGAGTGCTCCATTTCTGCAGGCTTGTGGATTCTAGAGACATTGTAGAGCTGCAGTTGAAACAGCTGGACTGTGTCATTCAGAAAAAAAGAAGCTTTACCTCAACCACAATTCCCTGCGCCGTATGTTATGATGCATCAACCAAACCAACAATCTTATGTGCAAGCAACAGCTCCTCCTTCTGCACCTGCTTCCTCACCTGCACCTTCTCCTACTCCAGCCACCTTGCCTCCACCGTCCCCACCTACAGTAAAAAACAAAAAAAAAATATCTTAGGAGGTGAATAATGAAAAACCTACATTAAGTTTTAATTTCTTTCAACGTTTTCTACCATTGGATCTCAAGAAGTTCTACATCATCATGCCTGTCCAATTAGGAGCATCTCCTGTCCAATTAGATTTTTCGATATCGGATTTATAACCTTCCAGACGTGAATCAGCCGAAACCTCAAAGAGGCTTCATGAGGGCCGAGAGAAACATCTCTGAAGTACAACACTTAATCGGAAATCGGGGTCTGGAGAGCTGGAACAACTTTTGGTGTCACCGGAGTGGGAGAGTATACAGCAGCCTTGCCGTGAGGCTTGAAGGCAATGGCGGAGGAATCAGAAGATTTTCCGTCTCGTTGAGCTTTCGCAGAGGATGGGACGAACTTCTTTTTGGTGTTCTCGCCGGTGGGGAATGAAGGTTTGGAACTCGGATCCATCGCAACGACTATGAGAGAGAGTAGAAAGTCTTAACAGTTTGATGAACAGAGAAGCTGATAGGAGAGATCTATAAATAGAACATTGTCGAGGAAGGTGAAAAGAGGATCCCATTGAATGAGAATGAAGAAATGATTGAATGCAATGAAACAAAGGATTGATTATTAAGGGAGTGGGTTGATAAATCGATCAAACGGAAGAGAGGAATAAACCAGAAATAATCCAAAATCAATTTCGTACCAACAGCCAAACATGATTTTCAATGAATAAACTGATTCTGACGTGGCCGAATAGAGCATTATTATTGGCTAAATAAATTTGCAAACGTGGACAATGTTAAAAAAAACCTCTATTTAGGTCTTTAATAGTGTTTGATAAAGGAAGTTAAAAAAAACCTATATTTCTACAATAGAGATTAAGGTTGTAAATCTGACATGGCGTTGTTATATATATCTAATAGAGCTAGATGTACATTAATCTTATTTGGCTTTCGTACCCTTTGGTTTCGAGTATGAAGGTTTGTCGTCAATGGCGGCTGAACAAATGTTGATACCAACACTCATGGTTTGAGGGTTGTTCTACGATGGACAGCAGTCATTAAACAACCAGTGTAAACATCAACCCAATAGATTCTAAGAACATATTCTCTAAATATCATTAAATAAATACTTAATTCTTAGTAAAATGACACCATTTGATTATAAAACCAAAAAGAAAATTTGAATCAAATGTAATGAACAATTTATTTTCACGAGAAAGCAAATATAAAAGATAAAAAGTAATTTTATCATAACTAAAGTTTAATTAAGTTTTCATCCATTTCAAACTTTTGCTCACTATTCCATATATATACTTCGGATGTGAAATTAAAACAAATTTTGATTTATTGAAACTGGGTAGTCCAGGAGAGTCTCTAGTAAAAAATAAAAATTTAAAATAGGACTACAAATGACTAAGCACTGATAGTATAGATATACATGAGTGTTTACAAAAAAAAAAAAACATTAACACAATAAAAGCAGATTTTCTAAAAATATCAATAATACATGAGTGTTTTCATGAAAAGTATTATATATAAATAATCTAATGCAGATTTTTTGAATAAATAATGCAAGTAATATATATTAGTAAAATGAAACACCTAGTATTTTAAAATCTGACAAGCATTTGATTATTAAAATATTAGACGGAAAAAAATAAAAATATTTTAAATCACAACTTTAATAATACATGATTTAGTTGAATTTAGATATAAAATCTATAACTCAATTTTAACAAAAAAAAATCTATAAACCAATAACCCATAGAGTCTCTCCTCTGCCAGACTGCAACTACTACTCGGTTGTCAATTTGTCATCGGTATAAATGCTTTTACAGTCCGGTTCGTATTGGTTTGAAATTGGATCGCATACAATCTTATAAACCAACACGAGACTTCGGATCTACGTTTTGGTTCGAATTGGTCTGAAGAGTCTGTCTGGTTTTGGTCTCGAAGATAACAAAAAAAAAAAACAAACTTGTCTGCATGTTACATCGGACTCTTCTGTGTCCGAGACGCCTCAATTTCCTGCTATCAGCTTCTAAACACAAGCGTCACATCAGTCAGATCCACGCTTTCGCAATCACTACCGGTAACTTACTCCATGGAAGCTCCATCGCTCGCGACTTCATTACTTCTTTTGTACGAATCGGCGAGATCTCACATGCCCGTAAGGTGTTCGACGAATTTCCTCAGAGAAATGTATCTACTTACAATTCCATGGTTGTGGCTTATTCCCGTGGAAACAAACCAGACGAGGTTCTGCGTCTTTACGAAGAGATGATAGATGAAGGTGTTCGACCAGATAGCTCGACCTTCACTATGACGATCAGGGCGTGCTTAAATGCTATGGCTCTGGAGAAAGGAGAGACAGTGTGGTGTAAAGCTATGGAATGTGGGTATGAAAATGATGTCTTTGTTTGTTCATCTGTGTTGAATCTGTACATGAAGTGCGGGAAGACTGAGGAAGCTGAAGCTCTGTTCCTAAAGATGACGAAAAAGGATCTTGTTTGTTGGACAATAATGGTGACAGGGTTTGCACAAGCTGGTAAGTCTTTGAAGGCTGTTGAGTTCTACAGAGGAATGCAAAGGGAAGGGTTTGGTAGAGATGGGGTTGTGATGCTTGGTCTCTTACAAGCTTCTGCTGATCTTGGAGATCAGAAAATGGGTTGTTCTGTACATGGTTATTTGATTAGAACAGGTCTTCCTATGAATGTTGTAGTTGAAACCACATTGGTTGATATGTATGTAAAGGTTGGGTTTTTAGAGGTTGCTTCCAGGTTGTTCAGTAGGATGATGTTTAAAACTGCGGTGTCGTGGGGGTCGTTGATCTCTGGATTTGCTCAAAATGGGTTAGCCAGTGAAGCCTTTGAAGCAGTAGTAGAGATGCAGAGCCTTGGGTTTCAACCGGATCTTGTGGCTCTTGTTGGAGTACTCTTGGCTTGTTCGCAAGTCGGATCGTTAAAGACTGGTAGGTCTATACATTGTTACATCTTGAGAAGGCACTTTCTTGATAGAGTATCCGCAACTGCTTTGATGGACATGTACTCAAAATGCGGTGTTATTGCAAGTTCGAGAGAAATCTTTGAACGGACGAGAAGGAAAGACTTGGTTTGTTGGAACACAATGATATCTTGTTATGGAATCCATGGAGATGGTGAAGAAGTTGTCTCCATGTTCGTGAATATGACGGAATCAGATATAGAACCTGACCACGCCACTTTTGCTTCTCTTCTCTCTGCTTTTAGCCACTTAGGTCTAGTAGAACAAGGCCAGCATTGGTTCAGCGCCATGAGAAACAGGTATAATATACAACCGAGCGAAAAACATTACGTTTGTTTGATTGATCTTCTTGCACGTTCAGGGAGAGTGGAAGAAGCTCTTGACATGATACACTCTGAGAAGCTTGATAATGCTTTGCCCATTTGGGTTGCTCTTCTTTCAGGATGCATCAATAATAGGAATCTATTAGTTGGTGAGATAGCTGCTAATAGGATTCTAGAGTTGAATCCGGATAACACTGGAATCCAAACGCTGGTTTGTAACTTCTTTGCCACTGCCAAAAAGTGGAAGGAAGTGGCTAAAGTGAGGAAGTTAATGAGAAGTGGGATCAGGGAGAAAGTGCCAGGGTACAGTGTGATTGAGGTGAATGGACAGCTTAGAACATTTCTCATGGAGGATCTGAGCCACCATGAGCATTATCACATGTTGCAAATGTTGAGGGACTTGTGTTCTGAGATGAGAGATGTGTATACGTGTACATCCATTTCTGAATGTGCTAATTCCCCTTACTAGTAGTAGTACTGTTGTTAAGCGATAACTGGTGGTTTCTAGTTACTATGTTTTCCTTGGTGAATCTCGAAATCCAAGAAGGAGTCGTTAACCGTAGCAGCAGCACTGAAGCTGAATCCGACTTGTGATTTGCAATATCAGCTCCTCAGTGCGTTCAAAGTACAAGTCAGGCTTCTTGTTACTTTACTGTGCAACAAGCTTGCTCTACATCATGCCTCTAACCCAGTCTTTAACGAGCGCACTAAACATGTCAAACCTGACTGCCATGCGATTCGTGATCAACTCAAGTTGGGATTCATCAATACTTTCCATTTTGCTTCCGCCAACAATTTAGCTACCATCTTGACAAAGGTGTTTCATTAAGGATCATTTCTTTAACTTTTGCCTTGCATGTCAGTTTCAAACTTTTACCTTCCTAAAGATAACAAGGATTATAGGCCTGGGTGGATATTTATGATGTACATAACCATAGTCAGTTGAGCACTTAGGATCATTAATTATGATGCTAAATATAAACCACAATGTATAGTTTGATTGAACTGAATAAGAAATTAATAATAAATGGCAGAGTATATAGGATAAACTACAACAACAGTAACCAAAATACAAATCCAAACTCCCAAATGTCAAACACTTGGTCATGCACTTGATCCAACCCAAATAAGGTCCTTGCCACACACCATTCCTATTCATCTGAAGGATGTCTTAGACGGAAACAAAGAGTTCAAAGAGTCAAGCCGGATGGCCTAGGGCCACATAGGATTGAGATCTTCCTTGTCTGGTAACACTTTGTGCAATGAAAGCCAGCCTCTGTTCTCCTCAGCTCCAACCCTCTTGCATTGGAATTCTTCCATTAGACTTAAAAGTCGCATTAACTCATCTCCCTGATGTCTCATTGCAGGTCATTCCTGGGGTTTCTTTATCACCAAGAAAAGTTCCTTGAAAGATGATCTTGTTAAGGTGCATACTAGTCATACTTTCTACTGCCCACATGAGAGTTGTGAATCTCGCTTCATCCAGGCTACCAACACCTGAAAAAGATATCCTACTGTGACTTAATACCACTCCCCTGAAATTTTGGTTACATGTTTTTTTAGGAAGTGGCACATACACAATGCATGTACACTAGAAACTTAGGCTAGTCATTGTTGGATGATGTGAGCATTACGTACCGTATGATCCATATCTTACAATGTGTTGAGAAACTTGATTTCTGAGATGAGAAATGCATATACATCCATGTTTAAAAAACACATTTATCCTTATCTTCATACTCTTTACCCAGTTATGCAACAGTAACTTTTGGAACGGTTTTCTCTATATTCTTGTTTTCACTCTTTTTTTTCTTGGTTTGTATATTATAACTAGGTGTTTTGCCCGCATATGCGGGCATAATTCATTATAAATATTTATTGGTTGATGTTTCACTAATTTATTACCTATGTTTTCAAAAAGTACAAATCAAACATCAAATAATCATAAATGACAAAACTCAAACATCAAAAATATTTAAAAGAATATATTTTATAATTATATTTAATTATGATATTTATATAAATATTTTTACTTAATTTATATTTAATAATAGTTTTTAAATCTTAATTTTAAGTTTTATAATAGAAAAACATATTTTCAAGATAACAATATAATGCATAAGTTATTTATTTTCTAAAAATAAAATATGATAAACTCATTTTAATGATATAATAATTATATAAGGTTATAGAAATGATGAAATATAATTAAAATTATTTAAAATCATGGAGAACTTAACAAATTAGCAAATTTACTTCTTAAATAATTTTCATTGAGTAACGATTTATATTCAATTAATAATAGATAATTTTCTATTTTATTTTTAAATTATATAAAATAAAAATAAATTTTCAAGATGACAACATAATAAATAAGCATTAATTTATTTTCTAAAAGTATAATATTATTAGTGTAAACTTATTTTAGTTATAGAATAACTACAACTGTTTATATCTTAATTTTAAATTTCTAACAGAAAAATATTTTCAAGACAACAACATAATACATAAAAAGTATTTTATTTTCTAAAAATCTGATACTATTAATATAATTTTTCTTTTAAATATATAATAGAAAAATTCGGCAAACATCTAATTCACATCTTAAATAATAGTATTAATTTTTTACATTTTAATTTTAAATTTTATAATAAAAAAGTATTTTCAAGGTGAAAACATAATACATAAGAATTAAATTCTTTGTTAAAAATCATATTTTTAATAGAAATTAGTTTTAATTATATAATAGATAATAAACAAAACTAAAGAAATTATTATAAATGATCCAAATTATCTAGGATCATAGAGAAGTTGATAAATCAGCAAATTCACTTTTTAAATATTTTTATGATGATTTATATTTAGATATTAATAATATAATTTGTATATCTTAATTTTAAGTTTTATAATAGGAAAATATATTTTCAACATAGCAACATAATACATAAAAACTATCTTATTTTAGAAAAATATAAATTATTAACGCAAATTCGTTTTAGTTATGTAATAAATATAATATTTTTTATATTTTAATTTAAAATTTAATTTTTATATATAAAAATATATTTTAAGATAACAACATAATTCACCAGAATGATCTTATTTTCTAAAAATATGATATCATCTTAATTTGTTTTATTTATAAATAAGTTATATATAATATTAAAAGTATGATAAATAAATCAAATTACCTAGATTTATGAAAAACATGACAACTAAGCAAAATAATTATTAATATGATATTCATATAAATTCGTTTTATTTATAAATAAATTATATATAAATATTAAAAATATGATAAATGAACAAAATTACCTAAACTTATGGAGAAAATGACAACTAAGCAAATTTACTTCTTAAATAATAGTATAGATTACAATCGATCTACAAAATAAACATTTGCGGAGATTTCTTAGAGATCCACTGAGTTTCTCAAAACTATAATTTATTAAATTTTTTGTTATAAATAATGTAAGTTAATCATTAGTTGATAATTATCATTTGAATTTCTTTAATTTTCGTAAAAATCTCCTTCCGGAGAGACATATCTTCTCTCTTTCTTCTTGTGTTCAAGTCTGTTTATTATTGATGTAATATTGATGTATGAAAAACTCTTGTATGTGATTTAATCAATGAATGAATCAGTTGTTAAAAAGAAAAAAAAAACTATTTATATATTTGTGAGGGATTCTTTTTTAAAAATCCCATTAAAGATGGGCTTAGTTTCCACGATCACACAACCTTGTATCACTCTCTCCTTGGTAAAAAAAGACTAATTTATAATGCATCTGAACTTGCCAAATTTGCCAGTGACCATATATTTCACGATTTTGCGTTTCTGAATAGAGACTATATACTGAACTCTAATAAGATATATATATATATATATATATATATAGTATTTTAATAATTTCTTATGTACATATTGGTTTAAATTAGTATTTTAATTAGTCATGTAGTTATAAATATATATATATATATATATATATATATATATATATATATATATATATATATATTTATCACCTTTTCATAAATAATATTTTGGATTCTTTTCTCTTATATGTTATTTTGGGAGTAGTTTTTATTAATTATTATTTAGTATATTTCTCATTTATATATTTTCAATTTTCAATATTTAAAACAAAATAATTTAAACACTTGAAAAGCCTAAAAGAAAATTGGCTGGCCAACTTAAGTCACATTAGAGCATGTGCATCGGTGAGTTTCTCACTCCATTTTTGATCACTAAAATATTAAAAAAAGTTATATAATGATGAAAGAAAAAAAATAGAAAGATGAAAGAGAAGCACCAACATTTGTACGCAGAGAAGCGCTTAGACCATGTGCAACGGTGGGAACATGGGAATCCTTAACTGCTGGTCTGATGGATTATGCATTTTTATAATATTATTTAAGCCCAAATCACTAAGGATCAATAAGTAAATAAGGATTTATTTTCGTTGATCCTTAGCCACGTGTCGCGTTTTGTTTCGTCCGTCATTTATACATGTTGGGTTTTGTCGGAAAAAAAAAAATCATTTCGAGCGAAGAAGAGAAAAAAAAAGCTGCTCTAGAGAAAAGGCGATTTTAGATCCATCCGTCGAGCAAGGTAGATCGAAGGGTTATGTTGCCGATTTATGGGTTTAGATTAGGTCTGTTGTTGTTTTCTTGTCAATTTACGGTTCGATTGTCGCGTTTTCGATTGATTTGTGTTTTTCAAATTAGGGTTTCGAAGGATTTGGGATTTCAATCGAACTTTTGGGATTTAGGATTTGAAAACGATTTAGGTTTCAAACGATTTCGGGATATTCTCGTATGTGTGATTGTTGTTTGGTAACGGTTTATATGTGATTGTTGTTTGGTAACGGTTTATATGTGCTTCATATTGACTCGATCCCTCTGTTTCTGTTTCTGTATTGATCTGTGATTCTCTGTGTTTCGGTATTGCTCTGTGTGTGTTGTCTCTGGTTTCCTTAGGATTTCTTTAACACACCGTATGATTGTTGGTTATAGATTAGATTGAGAGCACTAACTACTGTTATTACATGATTTCTTTCAGGTTTACTAATCATGGGACAAGATTATTCGTACAGCCAGCCTTCCTCATCATCAGAGTTTGACATGACGTCACTGCTTGAAGCAGAAGCTCAACTCTACGCGGATGAAGGTTCGAGTAGCTACATTGCAGAGCCGGGTCAGTACACATCTCAAGCTGAGGCTGATGCTGGAATCCCTACGAGTTGCTACTGTGGTGGTGAGCCTGCTGTTGCTACATCCTACACGAGCAAAGATCCAAGGAGAAGGTACTTCACCTGCGACAATGTGGACGACGGGGACTGCCACATTTGGAAGTGGTGGGATGTGGCTCTCACATAGGAGATGAGTGAGGTGCAGAGACAACTTAGGCACCTTAAGGATCAAGGTTTTCAGTGTGATGAGAAGCTGGTCAAGGTACAGAAGACTGTGTGTGAGCTTAAGAAGACCGTGTGTGAGCTTAAGAAGACCGTTCGAGAGCTGAAGACCGTTTGTGTAATTTTCTCCGTATTAGCTTGCATAGGTTTGGCGGTTATGTGTGTGACTGGTAAGTATATCTCTTGTGTTTTTGGTTGTTCTTCATGCAATTTAAGTAAAACTATTGACTCTTGGATCTCATGTTTTTGCAGGAAGAGCTTCAAAGAAATAAACCACATGTCGGCGTAATTAGGTACGACACTACAACTTTGTTTAATAAAGATTCACCACTCTATTTTGTTAAATAAATATAATGATATAATTTAATATAAGAAATAAAAATAAATAAAATGATATACTTTAATATAAGAACTAAAAATTTTATGAAACCCAAATCTGATAAGTCACTAGTTCAACACTCGATTTTGTTAAATAAATCTAATCTATAATGATATACTTTGATATAAGAACTAGTCACTAGTTACGATGCAAGTA